CGACCCTGCAACATGCCTAATGCCCCTTGAGTGTTGGTGAGGGTCACCCTAACCATGGGGTCTCTTCAGGAACCAGCATATTGGCAATGACCTCTGGAGACCTCATTTTCAGCTGCAGGAAATTTTTTCAGATACTGTGATTGAAAAACACTCCAGCTGGGGATAATTAGGGAATAAAGGAAGAGGAAAAGGGCTTGGAGTAGAGTAGAAGAGAAGGACAGAAGATCAGGGAGCCTGGGGGCTTGACAGCGGGGCCTCCGGAGAGAGAGATGCAGGGGTGGGAGGGGCCCGTTTCCAGAACCATCTCTTGCACCTGTCCCCACGTCCAAGACACACAGCCTTCAATTACCCAGGACCCTTTCCTGTCCGGATGTCACCCTGGGCATAACCTTGAGAATCGAAATTAAGGGGTGGGCAGCACTCACCTAGGGGGTCACAGAGGACTTTGGTCAAGTCCACAGTGCCTTTTCTGGTCATGTGCCTTCACTTGTCCTTTATCTTTGGATCTGAGGAGCAGGAGCAAGGAACTCAGGGAGAGATCCAGGAAGACATCTGAGTGTGTTAGGGAGGACATTCACAGCGACACGGGGAGCGAGGACACTTGCAGCAAAGTACAATGACTTCACACTTATTGCATCAGACCTGCAGGTGTGAGAGAGCCTAAGCCTGTCTCAGAGTGCAGGGGACAAGCGGAAAGGAATGGTAAAATTAACACTGACAATTGAAATTCTGATAAAAGTCTGCTAATGTTAATTGTATCACTTGAATGTATGCAGGTGTATTTCTGTGAGCATTTATAGGTTCACACAACCCCACCAGCCCCTCTTGCCCCCATCGGGGATGGGCTTTCTCAAGCACAGTGCCCCTCCTGCTTGGGTGGGCCACGCTAAGGGTCCTCGCCTGGGGCCGGGCTGCTGCAGGACACTGAGTCCCTGAGGCACGGCTTGTGAGACACGACAGGAACATCTCTGCTCTTGACTGAGAGTCTCCGTTTACCCCTGCAGTGTAAGAATGCCGGTGACTCAGTTAGAAGCATGCTTCAAAGCTGTCCATGTCCTTGCCATTCAGAACCGGAGCCTGGAAGCTTCCAAATTTCTCCAGAATGTGATTTACATTCACCTTCAGCAGGTGAGTGTATGTCCACTTACAAGTGGAGGAATTACTGAAGTTTTTCTGAAACTTACTCACCACTATTCCATCTGATTTTTCTGTGCTAGGATTCAGTATGGCCTGCTAAAAATTCTGCAGTCAAATCTTAAAACCATGATGAAGATTATTTATTTTATTTCTTTATATGATAGAATTTTACTTTCAAAATTCAGTTTTCTGTTCTTTGAGTAATTTTTTGGGGGGGTTGGATAATCAACTTTGCTCTTACCATCTTTGTGACCTGTTGCTATATGCCTCTCATCTGTCTTCTGTCACTTGTGAGGCAGTTCCACTTGTGACCCTCTGCGGGTTGTTCATGATATAAATCAGAAAGTCTGTAAAAGTACAGTCCCTTTTACTCCGAAGACATTCCACAAGTACTACTTAAATCTGGGTGTGGTTTTTAGAAGACAGGATTATTAGAACATGTAATTGCAGGTTGCTAGTGCAAAATCCCCAAATCAATAGTCTAGCTCAACATCTAAAATCTTTCTAATCTTCCTTGGATTTGTATAGATAAGTGAAGCAGTTTGCTAAGAACTGGTTTAGAATACAGCTCAGCAGGTCTTCCGAAGCTGATGCTCTGCCAGAGGGCGGGTTCGAGGGGAGAGGGCGTGTCCTGCCCTCCCTGAGCTGACACTTTCATGGCAAAGACCTTCACCAGGTGAAGAACTTGCAGTTTCTTCTAAGAAAAGTGGGTTTGAAGAGAGTCCAAAAAGCGCGGGAGTGACACAACCCCACTTGTCTCAAGTAGGGGAGAGAGGCTGTGGGGCCACTTGGGAGACTCGTGAATCCAGATGGGCAGTGTTGGTGGCTTCCTC